GGTGAACTGCCGAATTTGGTTTTCTCCGATGAGAAAACATTCCTTGTAAAGCAGTTTGTAAATGAACTGAAGCGCCGGCCATGGTGATGGTGTGGGACGCCATAACAGCCGATGGTCGCCCTCCGCTCGTATTAATCGATCGTGGCATCAGAATAAACGCCGAATATTATCGCGAAAATATTCTGAAGGGTGTATTAAAGCCTTGGTCACTCAAAGATTTTGGCCGCAGACTTTCCAACAGGACTCAGCACCATCGAACTCAGCACGCGCCACTCAAGAATGGTTACAAAATGAGATTCCTCGCTTCATTTCCAGCGCACAAAGGTCACCAAAATCTCCGAATCTCACCAAAATCTCCGGATACCAATCTGTTGGACTAAAAAATAACAAAGTCTCGATCACCTCAAGCACGCGCTTCGCCGGGAATGAGCCAAAATACTGCAAAGCTACATTCGGGCAGTGTGTGACGGTTTCATTGGCCGTTTGGACGCCATAATTCGTGCTATTTCCGACACTTTTTGCTATTATTCAATAAAATGAAAAAAAAAAAAAGTAAAAATTATGGCGTTTGACTTTGCTGCAGTTTTTTTATCTCACCCTTATAACGGTTTTCATTTAAGCGGTATTTTCCGAAGGAATTATTTTCAAAATTTTCAAGTTTCTTCCAAATGGTGGAGGGTTTGGCCCGGCCAGGCTTAGCTGCATTTTACTTGTTTTTTAATTTTTTTTTTTTGTGACCGATCCAGATGATTCATTGGTAATTCCCATTTGGCGCCAAACTGTTGGCACTTTCTTCCTCTTGTTTTTATGATCTTTTTAATGTCCCTAAAGTACTAAAGTTCCAATACCCCACTTTACTTCTATTCTTCGACTTCTTGCAAGATTTCAAGACCTTACAAATCATGGATTATGACCATAAACCCAAATAGTTAAAATGTCTGTAGACATTTGGAAACAGTGTAAACTACTTCATTTTTGCATTCTGCTCTCCTTGGTTATTTCTTTTTATTGTTGTTCCTTTTCGTTGTACTTTTTTCTTTTTTTTTTTCCTTTTTTTTTTGTTAACAGAATTTATTGCATTTCGTTGCTCTTCGAATTGAGGCAAAGGTCACATATGGCTTTATTGCCATTTTGCCATAAATTGTATGGTTTTGTATTGAAGTTGGCTTTTATTCGCACTTATTGACCTGATTGTTCGTTCGTACATTTTTTTCTTTTCTTTTCGAATTTCATGCTTTCATTTCTTCTTCAGTTGAATTGTCTCACTAAGTGATGGCTTGATGTTTTCATTCATGGCGAGAAAATTGCAAAATTTAATTTTTATTCTCTGGCGTTCATTTTGATTTCTTTCTTTTCATCTACTTCTTCTACTTTTTGTGATATGTGATTTTATTTGTTGGTTTTATTATTGATTTTGTATTGCCGACAAAAAGCCGACTTTATGGCAGTTTTCCGGCCAAGAGCAATTGTTAATAAATGGTGTGCGGAAAAAAAATTGAAGAAATGTGTTCAATGAAATTGAGGGTATTAACCATTGTTTGGGTTCAAAGATTTCTTTTTTTTTATGAAATGAAATGGAAAAAATGATTGGCAAGTTACAATGTAATCTGTGAAGAGGCGATAAAAACCACACAATTCGGGAGCCAAATATGCCACATATTGGTTAATAGTATATGATCTTCTTTGAAAATGAAATCCGCAAATTAAAATTGAAAATTCCACGGCAGCGGGTTCTGTATGTACATTATTGTGTTTATCTATTATTTGCTTTGGGAGCAGCAAATCCCGGTATGCTTGATCCGGATTTTAACGGTCCGTTCCGGGATTGAGGAAAACCCCGGACTTTGGTTCCGTCATCCATCACAGATCAGTTCGGTGCGATGTAATGGATATAGAGAATGGGTGCACTCCAAGAACTGTTCCGGACTAAGGCGTTTGTGAGACTACAGAGAAAGTAATTATGTAGCGACGTGCCACAGTAGTGTAGTCCCCAGCGAGTCTTTGTCTTCTTGGAACTCCGCCGCAGTCTCCAGAACAGCAACCAATACCGCAGCATCTTACGCCACATGTTGCTGTTCTAACTCCGGATTGTGCATCGTTCTTGCAATTCAATTGCAACGGACTCCGAGGCAAAGTAGATGAGAAAGTGGAATTTATGAATCGAAGGAATATTACGATCGCAGCGGTGCAAGAAACCAAGCTGAATGTAAAACGTGTTAAGGAAGGATCGCAGCAGAAGTCGAGGTAGCGTTAGCGTTCCTGTTGCACCATTCTGTTCAGTACAGACCTATATCGCTTGAGCTAGTCTCTAGTGATCAATGCTTGGAATGTATGGGGGTAGCAGTCAAGTGTGGAACTGCCGTGCTAGAGGTGATTAATGTGTTTATCCCGCCGATTAACAGCTGTGAATCGCGTTATTTGCCAGACATTAGCCCATTGCTGTTAGGCAATAGCCGAATGATACTAGGGGATTTTAATACCCAATTGTGGCATTCCATCCTAGGTAATGACCAGAAGGGATCTGCGCTAGCAGAGCAGATTGACTGACCGACTTTATGGCAGTAAATGAGGATGTCCCCACCCGAATAAGAGGAGAGCGTCACTGTTCACCAGACTTAACCCTTGTGTCACCGGGTCTAATAAATGACGGGACTTGGCAACCCCTCATTTCTCTTGGCTGAAACCATCTCCCGATAATCGTCTCCATAAGCAGGTCGCCCGATTTCATAACCTCTGATGGCCACACTGTTCTTAACCATGGGAAGGCTCACTGGCCAGAGTTCAGAGAATTCACCAACCGTCCCTTCTAATTTTCACAGCTATCTACAACAAGATGAAAAGTAGGAACAAGGTCCTCAGAAGCCGAAAGTCCTTCCCTTACGTCAGCATAATCATATGCTTTCGTTGCATTACCAAGCAGGGGTGTTACCGTGAGTAATCCCAACCATCATATGCTGGATACAACCCCCCCCCCAAACAGACGTGTCAGGATGTCCTATACATGACCTAGAGAGGAAGGTCCAGCGCTGCAAGAGATAACCTCTAGATCAAGGAGCCTATCAGGCAGGTCTGAGTGGCATTCATACCAATGCAGTCGCAGATACTATCAGCAATGACAGGATGAATGCCGTCCTCGGAGTACACCACCCCCCATCCATTGCAGCTGAAGAACGTCAGCTTCCCAGACATAGAGTACGAATTGACGAAGGTGTGCGAGACGTCTGCCGGTGGTGATACAGGTCCGCACAATACGCTGCACCAAACCGCCAAACCTACCCAACTCACTACAGATGATCTCTGGTTACAGCCCGTTAATTTAGCCGAATTTTTAAACCTGGAACTTGAACCAGATTAGCAGAATAGAAATATCCACATATACTACTGCTACAACAACAACAACAACCGAATAAGATTCATAAAACCTCATAACGGACAAAATTGAAAAACTGTGTTATTTCCAACTCTCCACCACGTAAAGGAGATTCCAATTATATTCGAATTGAATATAACTTCCTTCTAATTTTCGAAAATTCAAGCAAAAGAACATATCTATAGAAAAACCAGTAAAGAAAGTCCTAAAGTCGGGCGGGGCCGATTTTATGATACCCTACACCACTTTGCTAATTTAGTTGAGCTCCACTTAATAACTAAAAGTTTTTATGGGAGAATTCAATCATACACGCTATGATTATAATTATAATTTAAAATTAAAAGGACTAAATATGCCGAAGCATTTGTATCTTTTAAATTCGGACTTGTATTGCCAATTTGGTGCACAATTAATTTGAAATCGGATAAAAATATATGTGGGAGCTATATCCAAATCGGAACCGATCTCGATAAAATTTGGCAAAGATATTTCTGAGCTGTATTTGATATATTTCCCTGAATATCGTTGTTACGGAGTGCGTATTACGGCTGTGGGTAACAAATACAACAAATAGGATGAACAATATATATGGGAGCTATAACTATATCTGAACCGAAATTTGGCACACTACCTTCTAGACTAAATTCGGTCGTATGTGCCAAATTCCATCCCATTTGGACAAATATTAGACGTTTGGTGCACAATAAATGGTAAATCGGACGAAGTTATATATGGGAGCTATATCCAAATCTGAACCGATCTCGATAAAATTTAGCAAAGGTATTTCTGAGCTGCATTTGATATATTTCCCCAAATATTGTTGTTACAGAGTGCATATTACGGCTGCGGAGGATAAAAATAACAAATCGGATGAACAATATATATGGGAGTTATAGCTATATCTGAACCGATTTCGATAAAATTTGGCATACTTATTTTCAGGCCTAATTTGGTTGTATGTGCAAAATTCCATACTATTCGGGCTGATATTACACGTTTGGTGCACAATAAAAGGCAAATCGGACGAAGATATATATGGGAGCTATATCTAAATTTTTACCGATTATCTCCAATTTCAATAGGGTTCGTCCTTGGGCCAAACAAATGATTTGTGCAAAATTTCATCTGGATAGGGCAATAAATGCGAACTGTACTTTGTTTACAAAAATACATGGACAGACGGACGGACATGCATAAATCGACTCAGAATGTGATTCTATGTAGATCATCAAAAGGAACTGTGGGTCTATCTCGTTTCCTTTTGCCTGTTACAAACAAATGCACAAAGACATAATACCCTGACCACCTAGTGGTGTAGGGTATAAAGAGTCATAACATCTATATTTTCCAAATTTATTCTGGATTCTTATTTAAAAAAAAGTTTTCATTCAAACTTGAAATTTAGCTCAATATTTGTCTGACAAAAAACATTCACGTAAATTATTTTCAAACATTCAAGAAAAAGTTCCCCCAAATTTTTTTAACAACAAACTTCCCTAAAAAACTCTCTAATTTAATTAGTTTTTAGCATTAGAACAAAAAACTCTACAGCAAACCGAAAAACACAACCATTTATTTACCTCGCTCCTTATCTCAACTCCTCTTCTTTTTTCGCCTTGCCTCATTTCAGTGTGTCTGCCGTTTCGATCGCCAGGGTGCCCTCTGTGAAACGCCCATCATCATTAAGAATGCCGCTTTCTCGGGCGATTCATATGTCTCGCATCGCATCCACAAGGACATTCAGCATCACGACTCACTGGACACCGTGCTGCCGATGCATGTCCAGTTGAAGGTACGAACACGTGCCACAAATGGCCTCATCATGCTGGCTGCCGCTCAAGGTACCAAGGGTGGCCATTACATGGCCCTGTTCCTGCAAAAGGGTCTGTTGCAATTCCAATTTTCGTGTGGCCTGCAAACGATGCTGTTGAGTGAACTTGAGACACCGGTGAACACCGGTCACGAGATAACCATACGAGCTGAGTAAGTAATTGTGTAGCCATTTTTTGGGGCATTCTAAACTAAACTGTAGTATTTAGCACTAACTAATGAGGGAACAGGGAATGGATGAATGAATGGAAGGTTAAATGCAAACAAACAAAGTGAAAACCTGACTAAAACTTTGTCTACTGTTTGGCTTTGGCCAACAAATGTTGCAGTTGGGAAGATGATGAGAAACATAAATGGGATGGGGTCCAGTGAAGGAATGTAAAAAATATCTGTGAATTTAAGTCACACAATTAGGATAAATATCGTAAGAAGTTTTAGAGCGGTCCATACAGACAAATTTTCAATGAAATATTGAACCCAAATTGTCCAGCACTAGAGTCAAATATATTTTCACCCTCAGCCATGTGACTACGTGCCTCATCGAACTAACCCTAGGTCTCTTTGGACCAAATCCGTTTCAGGGCTTTTGGAGTCGATCTGAGGGTCTCCGTTCGTATGTCTATCCGACTGGCATGTGTGCACGATAACTCCCGAAGGGGCTATTCGATTTGATCCAAACCTGGTACATCGTAATATTATTGGCAAACTTTGATCGAGTTCGGTGATGGGCAATATCGGTAAAAAAGTTCAACATTTTAGCAGAAAATAACACTTTGCGAAAAAAATATAATTTTTTTCAATAATTATGGGGAAAATCCCGCAGATTATGAAAGTAGTGCTATAAAAATAAAACTCGTGTATCAGTGATTTAATATTTTCAGAAAATTTCGGATTAAGATTAAAAATATATCGTTTTTCTCCAGCAATATTTTGATCGAAATTTTGATTAAAACTACTCTTCTAACGGGATCGTAGCAAGTCAAAATATTCTACAAAATTATTTGTTCTAATTGGTCACCTTTGGCACGAATTATGACGTCACACGCTGCCCGAATGTTGCTCTGCGGTATTTTGGGCCATTCCAGGTGAAGCGCTTGCTTGAGGTGATCAACACTTTGGTATTTTTTTGTGCCAACCTTGCTTTCCAAAATACTCCAGATACAATAGTCCAAAGAATTGGTATCCGGATATTTTGGTGGCCATTGCGCGCTGGAAATGAAGGAGGAACCTCATTTTGTAACCATTCTTGGGTGGCACGTGCTGAGTGCGATGGTGCTGAGTCCGTTTGGAATGTCCAAATGATTGCGTGCGCAAGGCTTTAATACACCCTCCAGAATATTTTCGCGATAATATGCGGCATTTATTCTGATGCCACCGTCGCGGAGAGCGAATCGGCTGTTATAGCGGCCCACACCATCACCATGGCCGACGCTTGTGTTCTGGTGGCCAACCGAAGGTGCACATTTTCAGCTGACCTCAGCTAAACACAATCATTTTGTTTGTTTAGAAACTGCTGGACAACGAATATTTTCTCATCGGAGAAAACCAAATTCGGCAGTTCACCACTTTCGGCCAAGCGAAGCAATTCTTTAGCTCTTTTGAGTCTATTTTCTTTCTGTTGCGGTGTAAGTTATTGCACTTTTTGGAATTTCAATGGCTTTACCCCGAGCTCATTTTTCAATATTTGCCGAATGGAATATTGCGATATTTTCAACTCACGAGCCATTTTCCGGCCATTGCGACACGGGTTTCGATCAAGTCGCTTCTTTACTTTTCTAACCATTTCTGCTGATGTTGCTGTTTTCTTCCGTCCACTTCCTTGACGTCAGACTACACTGGTAGCGTAGGTAACGAGCATTGGCACGGTAACGAGCTATGGTACGAGACACAAAAGATTTATTCACATTTAAATTCTGGAGTTCTCTAACGATAGTCACTTGTGGTTTTCCAGGCAACTACAAAGAAAACACACTATCACGCTTGAGTTGCATCACGAATAACTTTTTTTCTGGGAAATTCTCACCAAAACGCTTTGGTACGCTTGTTAGCAATATAATGAGCTGTCACTGGAATAATTTTAACAGCTGTCGGACGAGTGGCTTAGAAATGACAGCGGTCTGATCCACAATTTGTTGAACCCTATTTTGGTCCATAATCTGGATTGTTAAAAAATGTTCTAACATATTTTGGTCCTTAATCGTGGATTGTTCAAAGAAGTTAAAAAAAATAAAAATATTTCTCCTGAAGTCACAATCGTATTTAAGAAAAAAAGATCGACCCCACCACGGATTTTCAGGCTCGTTTATTATGATTTTAAGGGCATTTCTATTTACTCAACGCTAGTGGATTTGTTAAAGGATTTATTTAAAATTAAAAACCCTGAATTTCTAAAAGATATCTAAAAACTTTATTCTGGTCCGAAGACATAAGTTAACAATAAGTTTCATAAAAATGTTAGATTCCATATTTTCTTCCACAATGCAGTTTTTTTAAAAGATTTTCGAACTTACTGGTTTACTGGCTTGCTTACCCGTTTTGTAATGAGTATTTTTGCTGGTTCACGATTAAACCCAGTAAACATTTTAGGACCAGTTAACGTAATATAAACAAGCTACCTTCAGCATCACAAGTATGTTAAAAATAATGGGTTATTCGGATATTTTTTATGTCTGAAAACATCTCATTACAGTATTATGAGTAACGACGGCAATAAAGTATAATGAGCTGTAGATGTAGACGTGTAACCTGAAAAAACTACTTATTTTGGGCGACATTGTTTTGTAAACATAATGGGTTAGTAGGTTGTTTCGTATGTAGCTACGATTATTTGGGAATGGAAATTATAAAAAAATGTTAGAATCAACATTTATCTAAAATCGTTTAGAGCCCACTAGCGGGGGTTTTTCGAAGTTTTTGAACGCACTACATTGTGCGATTTTCAAAGAACTTGTTGAAGTGGTAGATTTTAAGGGCTCAATAGGTTTTAGTCCTCAATAGTAAATTTTTCACAATTATGCATTTTTATACGTTTTTTAGAGCCGATATCTGGCATCAAAGCTCAAAAATGCCGATTTCTTTAAAATATTCAATCATTTCTTACTTCTGTTTGGTCGTTTATTTCAAAGTTTCAGGATTGTACAACCCTATGCTTCTTTTTCATAATATGTCTAATCATGAAATTGGCCATGTCCTGGAACATTTGCAACATTAACACGTTTATTTATCTCGCTCTCCCTCGCTCCCTCTCTCTTTTCCTGTCCCACTCTAATGACTGTCATAAATTTAGTTTTTCCTTTAAGTTTTTCTGCTGCTGCCACCAACAACGGAACTTAGTCTGTTCTTTTCGTGTTTTTGCGAGCATTTAGCACATGCAGCTGATTCTACGGAACATGTTGTGTGTGTATGTGTGTCCTATGTTACATTACACCAAATGATGTAGAAAAGTGCTTTTGCACGATGCATCGTTCCAACTGTGACCATAAACGAACATGAGATGCTCTATTTGAACGAGACTGAACGCCCGCCACCCCTGACTGACTTGCAAAACGATGTAATTATCGTTGAGAAATTAATTTCCCAGTTACGTGAAGAACATAAATTTGCCGAAAACCGGCAACAAGAAAAAAAAAATCATAAATGTTCTTGGCTCCAAGGACATTTGTACGCCAAACAATATGTCAATGGCTAGGTTAGTAGATATTGAGGTTAATTGCATGGAATAGATGAAAAATTTAAATTTTAGAAAAATAACAAGACCCCGATGTGAAATCATATTAAAAACCAGTAAGGAAAAGTCGGACGGGCCGACTATATGATACCCTACACCACTATGCGTATTTAGTAGAGTTCCCGTAAAAAAGAATTTATATTGGGAATTGATTTGAAGTAGATCATACCACCTATCAACCTTTGGGTTTAGGGCATTTATAATTTGGTTTTCACTAAATTTGACGAAGACCTTTTTTATTTTTTATACCAAATAACATTGCTATAGAGTGCATGATATCACTTCGAGAAGGATTATATTAAAAACAAGTAAGAAAAGGCTACAGTCGAGCGGGGCTGACCGTTGAATACCCTACAACACTATAATAAATGATACAGTTTATATAGGCCAGATACTCGAAAGAATTCCACAAGATATTGTGACAAATAATAAAAGAAAACCATCAGGTTTCGTTCTCTAATTTTCGAATAATAGCAACTTAAACTAATTTGCTCATTTCCAATTTATTGGTAGATGTTGCACGTAAATGGTCTTCCTAGATCTGGAACCAATATTTCCCAAAGACCTATAATCTCTCAGAAGTGGCAAAAGATTAACATTTATTATTGGTTTTTGACTGAAACGCATTTATATGAGATACAGCCATTTGAATATATTCTTCAACGAAATCAGCTTTAACGAAATAGTCAGAAGTGCGTCTTTCCTGTATTTGTGAATTCTCCAAAAAGTCACTGGAATGGACTATTTCACACATTGAATATTTTTGGATGGCCATCCGAAACTGCTTAGCTTTTACAATGTGCGGTAACCCCTATTCAAATGTGCGTGCGGATCGGGCGATAATTATGACCTGCCGACAATTTTGCAGTTTTTTGGTCCATTTCAACCCCTAACTATATGGCGATCATCTCCAAAAAGAGTAGGCTTCTATTCTGACCCTCATCTTATCCCCATGTAAAATTTCGTGAGGATCGGGCCATAAATGCGATCTGGATATGATATCCTGATGTCCTAACTACTTAGTTTTGTTAGCTGTAGAAATATTACCAAATATTTAATTCAAAATGAAAATATGCCAAAAATCTGACAAAAAATTATACAAAATCAATATTTCCATCTTTAGAGATATATTTTTATGCGATTTTTTATACGTTTTTTCTTTCCTGCCTAGAGGCCATTCTGAATTAATGAGAACTGTCGAAATCAGTTCAGCCGTTCTCGACATATAAGAGATCTTTCAACATATATATCGCACATATTTTGCTATATATCCGATTTGTTGGATGTTAACATCAATGTAAAGGTCAGAAGTAACCTTGTGGTGGCTTTGTGATTTCGCCGGGATTTAAAATATTCACGGTTTAATGAAAAATTTTGAATTTTTTCAACACAAAAGATATGGTCTATTTTACCCGCTAAATATTAT